ACAGAAAGGAGAATTCTACTGCCTGAGGGTTATAATCCCTAAGTGCGGCCGAAGGCCCCCTTCGCAAAAAGGTGTTCTCTACAAACGGTGTTCCNCCTGCCAAGTTCAGAGAGGTAAAAACACTACAATTAATGCCGTAGTTAACTTTTCCAAATTCGAAAAGTGTAGTGCTAACTTGACACACGTCAAAATTCCAGTCTGGTAGCACCAAGTTGTATGTTATTCTGCTATCTTATTCATCGTTTATATGAGAACTTTAACAATAAATTATATAAGAACTATAGGGTTGATAGAAAAAAGGGGGGTATTTTTGAAATCAGGGGGTCCTATTCTACCCCCTTCATCCCCCCTTTTTCTAGAATTTTCCCCAAGTCACAGTTGTTCTACACCGGTATTGAAGGTAATGGAAGATATTCGTCCTGCTTATGATGATGAACTACTTACTATCTTGGTGCTGTTAGATTTTGCTAAAGCCTTTGATACCGTAAAGCATGATATTCTTGCAAAATTTAAGTACTATTTTGGTTTCAACTCTACTTCGCTTATGTTTATGGAAGCGTATTTATCAAACAAGGACCAACAAGTACAATGTGGAGAAACAATTTCTTGTCGCAGGAAAATTAATTCCCGATATACAGCAAAGCTCAATCCTGGGTCCTATATCTACTCTTTAGTATATTTGTAAATGACATTGTTCACTGCTGGCACCTGTATGCCTTTGATACACAGATCTACTACTCATAAGCAATTGGACTTGGGGGAAGACCTCTTGTTTCGGTTAAATGAAGATCTAAGGAGAATAGAGATTTGGGCCGATACAAATGTTGTGACTAATCTGGGCTTTGAAATTAACTCTCGTCTGAGATCATATCAACCACTGTGTCTCTAGAATATACTTTATTTTAAGAAATCTTTGGCATACATGTTATTGCCTACCAGATAATACAAAATTGAAGCTACTTCAGTCAGTTATTGCTTCCTTGATTCTTGATTATGAATCGAAGAATAAATTAAAAGGAGTTTTAAATAATGCTGCCAGGTTTAGATATTGTAAGAAAAAATTTGGTCATATATCACCCATCTTTAAATTTTGGATTTAAATTTTCTAAATATATGCTGGAATTAGGTGTCTTTTAGGTGTTCTTCAACGTCACAAAAACGAATTTAGTAGCTCCATTTGTTTCCGAGAAATTCGCAAAAATGTGTGTTTTCAGCTAGTTTAGCGCTTTTAACCTAGCGGAAAAACCTTTAAATTTTTGTTTTAAATTTTCGAAATACATACATATTTACAGGAATTAGGTGTCTTTTAGGTGTTCTTCAACACGTCCATAAACCTAGCTGACCCAAGTCGCCAAAAATCAATAA